ACTAGAATATAACTGTTAGGGTTATGCATTAACCACTGAGATGATATATTTTGTAGTTAACGGACTTTGTCACATACTCATTGATTTTTCACTTTATTTCTTACAATATCAAGTGGGGGGAAATCCACTCATTTTGATTCTTCCCCCCAACCCCCAAAGAAAACTACTATTACAGTCATTGATTTATAGGAGAGAAGTCCTTTCTCTGGTCCCAATCTGATTCTCTGCTCTAGTTGACATGTATTTTCAAATTATCCCTGATGTACTTGACATTCTCTCAAATGCATGGTCTCTTTTTTATAATCACTTAACTTTGATTAATTCTACATTTCCCATGGTGTGGTGAATCACCTTTGGTAATTAGAATGACAGTCTTAGTAGTAGACCTGATAAAACGGGAGGCCTGCTAAGTTTGAAATAGCTCAAGTTTTTGAAGGTAATAATTGATAACTGTTCAATATATAGAATATTTCTAGAGCCTAGAAACTTACATCCAAGAAAACTAAGCTTCTAAAGCTGTACAGTCCTCCATTGAGACAATGGAGGATAATGGGCAAGGGAATTCTATTCCTGCCCAACAGTACTTGATATGTATATCAAATAAGCAATGGGTGATTTCCACTTGTTTCCCATTCTCCCTGTTCCTAAATGGCAGTATTCCTTTATTTTCATGTATCCTGTTGTTTCTCTATGATTAAAAATTATGTGAGTTCAGATAACCTGTCTTATAAACATATTGGCTACTAAACCATGAGGGCATCCATGTCTGCGCCTGTTGGAAATGATAGCATCACTAGACGTGATTAGAGGATGGGGCTTTCAAGTAGGTTCCCCCAGGGAAGGAATGAGTGCATGCCACCCAGGATGTATAAATTGGAAGAATGGAGTTATTGATGTTTAATAGCCCAAACGTTAGACTACTCTTACTTTTCTGTACTAGAGGCAACTAAACTATTCATCATTACAGATTCTCTTGCAGCTAAGGAAAAACCATGACTCAGCTTTGGGCATTGATAGGTGAACACAAGCTCCTGAGTTAGAATTCTGGGAAAGCTTTTTAAAGGACAGAATCAGCCCGAATGGTTCTTGAGTCTTTTGTCCTTTTCTTTTTTATGTTTTTATTCAATGGATTGGGGTAACATTGGTTAATAAAATTATATAGTTTTAAGGACTGGCAAAACTAGAGATACAATAGCGGGAGCTTTAGAAAGCAACATATGATATTATGGATGGAAGCCTCTAATAAAGAATGGCAAAGAAGCCTTGATTCTGATATTACCCCAAAGCATGTGCCCTGAACTGCTGATCTATGGCTGCCTTATTCATAAGTAAGATAAACACAAGGTTAGGCTATTGTTAGCTGGATTTCTTAGCTCTCTTCTTTTTAAGTGTACAGAGACATATTCTCTAGCCAATGATTTCTTCTAAATACCAATTTTTCAACAAATAGGAATTAAACAATAAATCACCCAGTAAGTGATAATTGATTAATAATGCATAGCCATTAACATGGATGAACGTTTTCTGTATACTTGGCAAGAATAGTAACAGCCAATATTCTCAACCTTGAGCTGTAGCAATCCAAAGAGAGAGATTAAATTTTAAAAATCAAGAAAAAGGAAGGAGTCAATTCAGTCTTGACTCTCTAACACCTAGTAAAGTGTCTGGCACTTAGCAGCAAGAAAAATGTTTACTAATTGATACTACTTATTATAGTCCTCAAAAAAAACTGTTTTGTAATAACATAACACTTAAAGCATATGTGATAAGAATGTTCAGCAACAAATGTGAATTTAATGAATAACAACATTTACTGAATAACTAACATTTATTGAATTTTGGTATAATCTAAGTACTATGCTAAATTTTTTGTGTGTTTTTAAAATTTAATTCTCACAGCAGTCCCATAATGTAGGTATGATTATTAGACACTTGCAGAGATATTTAAATAACTTGGCCAAGGTCACAGAACCAGGTGGTGTCTGAGGCAGTATTCAAGGCCAAGTTTCCCTCCTTCCAAACCTATGCTCTTAAGCACTATGTATTACTAAAATATTCTAAATCTGCTCTCCTAAAAGAAACATATCCTTTGATCCCTAAAAACCCTTTTTAGCAGAACAGCAAGGATACAGAAAATGTTAGCCCATGTTAATGGTTATACATTATTAATCAATTACCACTTACTGGATGATTTATTATTTAATTCCTATTTGTTGACAAATTGGTTGAGTTTTTCATATGCACACACTGGAATAAGTTAGCTAAATAAAGCAATTCACTTGGAAGGTTTCATGTTCACTCTAGGTTGCTATTGGGAACCTAGATTTTTTTTTTGCAGCATTTTTGCTTTAAAATCCAGGAGGTGTAGCATCACAGCCCGCATAGTAGGATATTGATAAGAACAAGGATGCAGGAGGCAATTCACTGGACACTTAAATGGCAAAAAAATATAGTGCAGTTTCACACACCCTGCAGACTGCAGGTTTATATGATAATAAATAATAGCTTTCACCAGGACAAAGGGGAAAAAAAAAAACAAAAAACGCCATGAAATCCAATAGCTCAGTGAGAAATCTGCTAATACAAGTGGTCAAGCTTGTTCCATTTCATTGTCAAAGGGAGGCTATTTATTTGCTTCTGGGTAGTTAAATTACAAAGTCATTTACTGCTGAAAGTTTTCCAGTAGGCAGATGTGGATCTAAAGCTTTGGGCTTTAGATCCAAAGTTTGTGAGAAAAGGGGGAATAAGAATTTATTCCACAGACAGCATAATTTGTAAGGTAGACATCTTTCATCAACTCTAGAAGTGAAATGAAGTGTCTTTAAACATTCCAATTGGAACCTCATTACTGTGTACACTGGGCATGAGCTAAGAACCAAGATGCTAGCTATTCTAAATAATTTTCTTAGAGACTTTTTAAAATATTTCTCTCTGATAATTTCCTGCTTAGCTGAGATGTCAGTGATGGAGATAGGTAGGTGTGTGTGTGTGTGTGTGTGTGTGTGTGTGTGTGTGTGTGTGTGAGAGAGAGAGAGAGAGAGAGAGAGAGAGAGAGAGAGAGAGAGAGAGAGAGAGAGAGAGAGAATAGAGTTCTCCTGTAGAAGAATGCTGAGAAAAAGAGGGGAAATCCAATGGCTCCTTGGTAGTTATAAAATTAATGTCAACTTTCTTTTTCTGTTGATCCATAAGTACCCCGTATGTATTCTCAGAACATTAGAAATATTGGAGATTATGCATACTATATTCATAATTTCTAAATTGTCACAAACTAGTAATTTCCAAAATTTGGTAGTTTATCAATAAAATTGAATATACAATTTTTATAAGCATTTGTAAATTTCTTATAAATAAGTATTTCCTTTAAGTCCCAATTTTGCATATACTCAACACCTACATTTTATCACTTGTTTCCTAGGTGTAAGTCACTGCTTAAGTTGCCAAGTAACTTAATTTTTTTCCAAGTAAGTTTCAAACCAAGACATGTACATAATTTTCTTATTAATTGCAAATATTAACTTCATCAATCTTAGCTTGTGACCAAATTCAAAGCTTCCAGGCATAATCCAGATGAGAAATACATTACACAGCTGAAAGAATTCAAACTCTAATTTATACTGCCTTGAAAACAATTAATGAGTCATAAAGAGCAAGGAGTCTATCAAAGTAAACTATATGTGAAGTGACCCACAATAAAAGGTTAACAGATATTGATGGTATCAGTTTGCTAGAAGAAAATTGAAGATGAAGAAAATCAAATATTCCAACTCTAGTTATCTGAACTTAAAAATGCAAAATGTTCTCAGTGAATGTTAGCCATCCTAACAAAATTCCAATCACTGAAAATTTGATGACTCTGTCATTAGATCACTCAGCTGTTATGGCAATAATTATGAGTATATGTATAGATGAATATGACATAAATGCATTTTCAGATCTGATGGCTCTTCTACCTAATTCTTGAGAATTAGAGATAAACAAAATCAAACAGTAATAATATTCAGAAAAAATATTTTAAAATTTAAGTTCCATGTAAAACAAATATAAAATGACTTATCTTGAAATAAATATGTACCAAACATCTTTATGTCATAAGTTTAAAAAAAATAGTTGGAAATATAGATTTAAAGATTTTGAAAAAAAACATATAGTCACTCTGTTTCTCCAATATACATATTATGTAATAATAGTACACTATCAAAACCATGAAATTGATGCTAGTACCATATGTGTGTATAGTTTTGTGTCATCTTATCATACCAGTAGATTCTTATTACCATCACTGTGATTAGGATACAAAACTCTTATATTTTGTTTTATTTTATTTTATTTTCTTGAATATAAAAATGCATTAAAATTTCAGATAGAAAGTTCCAAACTATTTGTTCTACATACCAATAAATGAGTATTGAGAATTATTAAAAGTTAGAAAATTATCTAGGTAAACTCTAAAAAGGCCAACGTGAAATTCTAGCCAAATAGACAACAAACCGTTTGGTTAACCTCAGTTCCTTGCACAGATTAATCATCACCATCATCATCATCATCATCATCCAGCAATCAGCTCTCCCCAACATGAGACAGCAATTTTTTTTTCACACTGTTTATCAAAGACAGCTAGCTGCGACCTGGCCTATTCCAATACTATTTCCTGCTGAAATTCCTGGATCACACACACACACACACACACACACACACACACACACACACACTTTTTTCCAGGCAAACCACAGCGCTCCACAAGTGCCCTTAAGTCACCAGAGAGGTTACCATAACAAAAAAGCACACAAACATACTCCAAAAACAAAACAAAACAAAACAAAAAAACCTAACAACAAATAAAGCAGCCAGATTCTTCTAAGTCAAACTTACTGTGGGGTTTCTTCTTTCCCCTAACAAGTAAATATGACCCAAATTGTTGCACACTGCAATTCGGATTCAGCGGGCAGCAAAGGAGAAACATAGGATCACAGAGCAAACAACTTAAAACACCATGGTCTTACCTTGGCCATCTGTGCCTGCACCCCATTGGCCTTGAGAGATGCTACCGCTTTCTGGGCTGCCGCGGGACTGTCAAAATCCACAAAACCATAACCTGTGGAGACACAAAACCCGCTGTTAGCACTCGCAGGTAGCTGGCTCTCCACCGCACCGTGGAAATGAGGGTGTGAGCTCTCGCTTGCATAAAGGCTCTCCACCTATGGTCCTTACCACGTCTGGAAAAATCACAATATCATCAAAAAGAACGCCAAGGGCACCCAGCACCGGCCCCCGAAGTCTGTGTCTGCGGCCTGCACCCAGGAGCGTTTTTCTTTGCGGCCCCACGTGCTTCCCCTGGGTCACGTACTCCCTCTCTGATTGCGAGGATTGAGAACAGCTTTACCTCCACTCGTATCTGAGGGAAAGCAAAACTCAGCCAGGTGCTCCTGGTCTCGCTGGTCGGTTAATTTGCAACATAGCAGGGTCTACAGAGCCTAGTCACAGGGGTCTTCAAACTTCTCTCATTATGAGAATCACCTGGTGGAGTTGTTAAAACACAGATTCCCGGATCCCAACTATAAGAAGTGCTATCAGGAATCTGTGTTTTAACACCTCCACCAGGTGATTCTCATAATGAGAAAAGTTTGAAGACCCCTGGGCCCTAGAAGAAGACTGTGTACATTAGGGGTGTCGAACTCAATCAGAGAAGGGGCCAAAATCTAAACTCCAGCCTAAATCGCGGGCCGAATGGTTTACTGAACAGTCATAAACTGTCATTGTGATGGAAACGCAGCGGAGTGCAGTGATGACAGCGCGGTGCGGGCCACATTGCAAGGCCTGGCGGGACGGATTTGGCTCGCGGGCCTTGTGTTTGACACATGTAGTGTATATCATTCTGGGGGTATCTAGTTTCCATTAAGGGATGGAATACTGGAGTTGTTGTACAAGAAAAACTTCTGATTTAATTAAATTCTTAATGGCTCAGTCGTTGAAGGCCTACCTATGAACCAGGAAGTCATGGTTCTATTCCAATCAGGGCACATACCTGGGTTGTGGCTCCATCCCCAGTGGGGGATGTGCAGGAGGCAGCCAATCAGGGATTCTTTCCCAACATTGATGCTTTTATCTCTCTCTCTCTTTCTCCCTTCCTCTCTGAAATCAATAAAAGTATATTTTTTAAAATAAATAGAATAAACATATAATAGTAAGTCTCCTGTTTTGGAGATTGCTTTGTAGTGTGGGTTTACCATCAGCAACCTGATAACACATTATTGAACCCTACTGTATTGTCCTGAATGGATTTGTTGCAAGAATGAGAACCACAAAATGTTGAAAGATATTCTTTTTAGAATTTCTCTCTAAAGCGAATTTTCAAAACCTCAAAAAAAGTTGGTGTTGATAAAAGTTATAACAGAACTTGACTAAAAATATCCCCAGCAACTTCAACAGTGCCTGGCATACAGTAGGCATTCAATCCCTACATGTTGACTGCATGAGTTTATAAATGTTGTCGATGAGATTTAGGGTTGGAACATGGCTCCAGCTGCTTCCAATGCCCATGCTAATACATTGCAGGACCTTCTCTCTTTCAATCACATCTTAAGTGAATTATTTTAACTCTAAAGTGGTCTGTGATAAAAATAATGACATAGATATTCAAGCTTCTTGTAAAAGTAAGGAACCTGTTTTAAATTAAGTAAACACACCCATGCCACTTGTTATTGGAGTACAATCTGAAAAGGACACACCTATACTGTTGACTGATGGTGTGTGTGGGGGGGTGGTGGTGGTGGTGGTGGTGGTGGTGGAGTAGTGAATACAGGGTGAGGCCAGATAAATAGCCAATAAAACAGACTAAATGCAAAAGATATATTTGCATGTCCATAAAATATCAGATATGAGTCCAGGACATAGCCTAACAGTAAGGTAGGCTGCCAAGAATATTTAAAAACAAAAATACTCAAGAATGAGTAGGAGGGCAGCTTTGTTTGTCACATCTAAAAACCCACCATATGTAACTTACGCCTCTTCTAATTTATTAGGCAGGGACTGGCTCTGTGCTCTTTTCCTTGCCTCATTTAGGGGTTTTGAGGTGAGCTACAAAGGCAACCTTACTAACCATGCACTGTGACACCCCTCCCCCTCCAAATAAGCAAAGAAATGTGCAAGAGAATTCAATTACCAGGTTGTTTCTTTTAATTAACTTTTTAATTTTCTTCCCTCAAATCCCTCCTTCTTTTTTCCTCCCAGCGTGCTATCCTAAAATGAACTTGTTACCCAGCAGTCTACCATCAAATGCTTCTGAAAAGCTGGGCAGAGTAGCTGTGAAGTTTGTATTTCTAATCCAAAAGAAAGCCTGCTCTATAAGTGCTAGCAATTCTTCTCTTCCCACGAAACTCAAACTATGGGAACAACATGAGTAGTACCACCCACTAAGTTGAGTAAAATAGGCAACAAAAAAAAGTCAGAATAAAAGGAGAAAAGAACAGAATACATCATGCATTAGAGTTAGAAGGAGCTGAACATAAAACTAAAATGCAGATGTTTTCTCCTATGTACCAGAATATGTGCTCGGTGGCTGCCATGTTGGCACCTGCTGAAACTCTAATGGCTTCGTGGGCTATTGTCCTCTTGTTCCTTTGGGTGTAAACATGAAGGAACTGGGGCTAGGGAGAGGTGACACAAACCACAGGCTGCCTAACTGGCAGCTCCAGGATTTGAAGCCAAGTCTGCATATGCCCTCCCAACTATACCATTCAATGAACTGCTCCATTCCCTCACTTTGCAAACTATTTCTAGTGGCCCCTGACATCCACCATGGAGAGAATGCAATTCTTTTTTTTAATATATTTTATTGATTTTTTACAGAGAGGAAGAGAGAGGGATAGAGAGCTAGAAACGTCGATGAGAGAGAAACATCGACCAGCTGCCTCTTGCACACCCCGTACTGGGGATGTGCCCGCAACCAATGTACATGCCCTTGACCGGAATCGAACCTGGGACCTTTCAGTCCTCAGACCGACACTCTACCACTGAGCCAAACCGGTTTCGGCGAGAGAATGCAGTTCTTGAACATCTCTTATAATAGATTTTGAAATCAGAGCATGGAATAAAGCAATTCCGTGAAAGAGCTCAGTCCAGCTTGTTCAGCCAGTTAATGGAGTGGTTGAGTTCTCAATAGAACTGGCTAAGTCAGGCACCCCCTTCTACCTCATACTTTAGCCACTCTTCCTCATGCACTCCCATGCTCATTCTTTCACTCTATAATGAAACACTATGTCAGGCACTTTGCCAGGCACAAGGCACATAATAGTGAACAATATAGTTCCAGATCTGCCCACCCAGCATGGCTCAGTGGTTGAGTATAGACTTAAGTACCAAGAGGCACAATTCCATTCCCGATCAGGCACATGCCTAGTTGGGGGCTTGATCCCCATTGGCAAGTAGGAGGTATCTCATCAATGATTCTCTCTCATCATTAATTTTTCTATCTCTCTCTCCTCATCATCTTCCTCTCTGACATTAATAAAAATATATTTTAAAAAATAGCTCCAATTCCCATCCTAATATAGCATATAGTTGAGTTGGGGAATAGACATAAATGAAATAACCATATAAATGAATCTATAATGACAAAATGGCATGTCTCCCTTGAAAGAAAATTAGAGAATATAATATAGTATCTAACTGACTGTTTATGGGTCTAGTAATAATTAGTGTCGTTTTTAAACATTCGTTTAAAATCTTGCTTGGCGTTGACTTGTATTGACATAACCTTCAAACATGTGGTATCTACAGAACGTGTGAAGTGCAATTAACAAGTTTTGCTTGAAAAAGTTTGTGTTTGGTTTGGTTTTTGTTGCAAAACTAGGGCTAAGAAGATGGCAGATGAAGAGCATATTCAGCACTGCATGCTTTACGAGTTCCAATTAGGAAGAAAAGCAAGTGAGGCTGCAAAAAACATCTGTAGTGCTCTTGGTCAAGATGCAGTTAGCGCCAGAAAATGCCAGCGTTGGTTTGAGAAATTTCGCGAGGGAAATTTTTCGTTAGATGACAAGAGTGGTCGAGGCCGTGTGTCCAATTTTGATCAAGAAGCTCTTCAAGCTCTTTTGGTGCAAAATCCTCAAATTACCCAACAAGAGCTTGCGACAACTTTAAATTGTTCACAAAAAACAATTTCCAATCAATTGCGTGCACTTGGCAAAGTCCAAAAGTTTGGAAAATGGGTTCCTCATGAGTTGACCGACAACAAACGTAATCAAAGAGTCACAATTTGCAGTTCGCTCCTCTCTCGTCAAAACCGTTTGCCGTTTTTAGAGCAAATTGTTACCGGAGATGAAGAATGGTTGCTGTATGTTAATTTGAAAAGGCGGCCTCAATGGTTGGACAAAAATGAGGCTCCGCAGCCCAAGCCAAAACCTGATTTGCATGCGAAAAAAGTGATGTTGTGTGTTTGGTGGAATTTTAAAGGAATTCTTCATTATGAACTTTTACCATCTAACCAAACCATTACAAGTGCAGTGTATAGTGCCCAATTGGAAAGGTTAGCCTAAGCTTTAAGAGAAAAAGAACCTGCGCTGATTAATTGGAAGGGAGTAATTCTTCACCACAATAACGCACGACCGCATACTGCAAGAATCACTGCTGAAAAACTGCGCCAGTTGGAATGGGAAGTTCTCCCTCAACCTGCATATTCTCCTGATATTGCCCTTCCGATTACCATTTGTTTAGTTCTTTGCAAAACTTTCTTCTTGGAAAAAAATTTAATAATGAAGAATGCCTCAAAAATGCATTGACTGAATTTTTTGCATCAAAATCACAAGAATTTTACAACAGAGGAATTAAAATGCTTCCTGAGCGTTGGGCACAAGTAGTAGAAAACAACGGCAACTATATTGTTGATTAAATTTTGTTGTATTGTTTAAATAAATTCGATTTAAAAAAGTATTAGAAAACAAAATTAATTATTACTAGACCTAATATTATCGAAAGTCATAAGGAAGCAGCATTTCTTAAATTGTCACTTTAACTAGCTTCTGCTAAAGACTGAATGGTTGTGCAGAAAGTGGACAGCAAGAATGGAATCAGCAAGGTGACATAGAGGCACATGGCAGC